ATTCCCTTTCATCCGAAATAGGTTCTCTTTAAATAGGCATTTAGACATGACCATGCTGTAATATCTTTACCAAGAAATCCATTTCCTTTTTATGATCAATGTATTATTTATAGCGATATCCCAGTATACACTGAAGCATAGGAATTTAACTTTTGTAAAATGTTTAGGATCCATGATCAAATTTATCTTTGCATTGTTTTTGAATAAAATATCTACTTACTAAACTGCAATATGTAAGAAAAAAGTATTTGAAATGTAAAACCTACTTAAGAAACTTCCTTCTCACAGCTTAAAATTATCATTTACTTATAAACAGAAAAAGTGCTTAGTTCAAATGCTCTTAATACATGCAGTCAAGTAAGTCTGAAGTACCTTAAATTAGCAACAATTTATTAGCCTTGTGTTATAGTATATACTTAAGATATTAACTCTTTAAAATCTATTTTTAAAATTTAGTATTAATCTCTTAAAAATGTTGAGTTTACACATTTTGTGAATTAATTTGGCTTTGCTTACAAATTAAATTATTTGGTTCCATTTTACCATATCATACAGTAATTCAAAAAAACTTCTATGCATTAAAATTGACTTCAAAATTATGTTATTCTTTTGATACCACTTATAAAATGACAGCTTTGAAATCATCATTCCAGATGAAGTAACACTCAGTGATGATCTTAATTTAATAATTGTACAAACAAAGCCAATTAAATAAATGCTTGAGATCACTTTATTCCTTTGAACAACACACAAATTTAATATATTGAAGATCAAAGTTGGAGACTAATGAAGGAAGCCATTTAGATGTAAACACTAGCTTGATTCTGATGCCTGGGGATCTGAGCAGTCTACCATGCAAAGTCAAGAACACTCTTGAAAACCACACGGTTGTGAGGGGCCTGGAGGAACTAAAATAGTACAGAAAGCTGACAAAGAACCCTGCTGACCAGAGCTGTCAGCAGAGAAAACGGGAAGCCACCTTATCTTACAGCACTACCAAACCTCTCAAATGTGCCCTCACATTGACCAGTTATTTCTGACAGATAGAAGGAGAAAAATGTAAAATCTCATTAACAATTTCACAAAAATATAACTTTTCAGAAAATGATTAATAATCTGAACTCATTTAACCACTGGGCATGTTTACATCTGAATAGACCGAAGAATTATGTTCACATCTTCAGCATATGGAAGTTCCTGTCAGAATAAAGCAATTACTGCACTACACTTTTTAAAAGCCTGCTTTGGGCTACAAAAATAGCATTAGTTGATGGAGAGAGAGACATTAAAAAACAAACATACTGAGATTTCTTTGAAAATTTATTTAATCTAAAACAAAATGTTGAAAGAAATTATCTACTTTGCATTTTAGATATTCTGAAAAACTTCAGTCATTTAAAATGTCATGAACATAAGAAGTTCTTGCTTTAAAATATTTGTCAATTATTTTCCTTTATTTCTTTTCTTTTTCTTTTTTTGTCTTCCAGAGTTGCATTGCTTTATGAAACCCCAGTTCTATGTTGAATGCCATAGAAGACACCTTCTGATCAACAAAAAAAGGAGTTGAAGTGGGACAGAAGATTGTGGAAGAGACATTTCTGTACATAACACTGAGAGCTCAAGATCATATAGCTACACAAACACAAATTATATCAATCACTTATGCATAGCACAGCCTTTACATTATCTTATATAGATGAATTTTTTTCTTAAAACATCTTGAAGAATAATGCATACACATGCACCAAACATACATGCATTTATTATACTTTGGAAAATGGGATGGGAATAATACTCTTGATTATAATATAAATTTCTTTTATACTATGACTAGGACAGTTTACTTTTGAACACAGGATCTTACTTGACCAGCCAGACAACTCATGCTAGAGAGAAAGTCTCAGAGTTCTTGGTTACGAGAATGAGAGAGAGAGAGAGAGAGAGAAAGAGTGTGTGAGCGAGTGAGCCCCACCCCTTACATCACGCCTTCCCAGGGCCACAAAGCTCCAGCCGTACTAATTTTCCTCCTATATTTTTTTTCTGTCTTTGGACGGAATATGTTTTTCCCCAAAAGAGGGGTTTGGAAGACTAATCTGTCCCTCATTAAAAACTCTTCTGCTAACCTCCACAATTCAGGTCTCAGCGAAAATACTTCCCCATCACAGAGTTTGGAGCTGGTCAGGTAAGAGGGTCATACTTTAATTGGAAGCTAATGATACAATAGACAGGTACAGGTTTTCCACCATGACATCTGCATAGCCTTTCCTCATGGAATTTGAGTATGGGGTCAATGTTGAATGCAGGGGAATCAGAGGGTATGACTATAACAAGACTAGGTGCCCCAGAGGAAGGCTGTCCTCGGACGAGTATGGAATTTATAAAGCAGCCCCTCCCCCAGGCCTTTCTATATTATTACCCTAATTTGTTATTTATATAATAGTATGCCTGACAGATATTAGGTGCTCAATATTTTTGGTCAGTGAATAAATAGCCTTTAGTACTATCTTCTATTTCTTGAAAGCTTATTTATTTACTCAGGTTTTGTCCATCTTTCTTTCTGGACCCCAGTGGAACATAAGCCACATAAGAGCAAGATCTGCTTCGAATTTTCCCTCATATCTCTAGCACCTGGAATAGCTCCTGGTCCATGGATTATTACCAATACATACCTGTTGAATATATAAATACAACATGGAAGAACACTAGCCTGTGTCACAGTGATTTTGCTAAATTTAAAGTGATAACCAGTCAGCTTGAAATAATAATGTAATTTTTTTCCAAGATGATGTAGTTTTTCAGGTGCATGGATCATTCAAGACTGGGGAACTGACAAAAAGAGGGAGGCAAGCAAGTCCGTGGTATTTGCAATGGACTGATCATTATCACTGGGATACAGGAGGTCAAAATAAAAGGGACTTGTTGAAAGTGAGAGACAAATGTGATTGATGTATTGGCAAGGTCAATGCAGCCAAAGAATTGTGTTGTTAAAGGTAATTAAACAGGTAAGCTAAAAGAATAGAAACATGTGGTGGAGAGGGAAATATTTGAAATAGAGAACTCAGAAGTGGTACAGTTTTTGCTAATGATAAGGTCTGAACATAGTCTGCATCGTAGGCAGCGAATGACTGAAATGAAGCGAAAGAAATGATCATTGGAGGTAAGGAAGTACAGGAATCAAGAGTACAAGAACTTGGATGTTTCACTTACTCAAGTACTGAAGTCATTAGCACAGAGACAGGAGTAAGGATGCAGAAAAAAGACTATAATTTTAAAATTAAATTCTTCAGTTAATGAGAAGAATGGATTAGAGATCGAAATAAAAGGGCAAAGAGGAAGTGTGGGTAACTTAGATAAATGACATGAACTTCAAAAATAAGAATTTTGTTGCTAGTACTATTTTGAATATAATGTCTATGTACTTCTTAAAGGGGGTGAAATATTTTGGAAGTTGCAACTGGGAGCAAGGATGTCAAATTACTTATCTCTGTGACTTGAAATCTAAGAGACAGAAAATTAGAACCAAAAATAAAACAAAAGACAGCCTCCCCAGAAGGGACAGCAGTAGAAATGGCAAGAAAGAGCCAGATGAAGAGAATATGGGAGAAGAGACGGTGGAGGTAAGGTTGCTCTGGTACCCAACAGCAGCATGAGGATTGTGGTTGATGAAGACTGTACCACATATTCTTGGGTGGAGATAAACCAATTCACTTTATTTACAAAAGCACTGGACACAAAACAGAAACTTGGGGCCCATCAGTACTTTTAGTGCCCTCAAATCTAGGAATTACGAGTTCTCAACTGGGGAATAATTGGCATTGCTGAGTCAAAGGTTAATTGCTCGGTTCTTGTTGGCTATTTATCTATATCCCACTCAAAGCAGAGAATACTGCCAGGCCCACAGCCAGGCCTCAGTAAGCAATTGTTTAATGAATAAAAAACATTTACCAATATCTGCTATTTCTTGACTACTTATTCCTTTACTTTTTAATACCAATTGGAGGAGAAAAATGCACATTTTTCCTAACTAGTTCCAAAATATTGTTTTTCAGCTATTTTCATACACCAGTAACTCCTTATCATGTAGCAGATGCTGTTTCTGCTTTGTGATAGCTGTGCCTGATTTTGCTAAAATTGCTATCCATCATCAATTCTAAAAGCCCCATGGCATCTTGTGACATTTGGAGATCAATTGCTACTAAAGTCAATTATGAAAAGCTTTGTTTTAATGGACCTATAATTGATATTGGTATGTTCTATTTTTAGAATTTACTCAGAATATCAAGATCATTCTTTTCAGTCATGATACATAGAAAACTCTGGATCTCGTCTCAGAAAAATGTTTAAGTGGCTCTCTTTTCAAAGAGCATTTTTTAAGGTTTTGGAAATCTGAAAACTGAGAACCATGGACTTACGTTGAGTACAAACCAGAAAAATTCT